GAGGGTGAGGGTGAGGGTGAGGGTGAGGGTGAGGGTGAGGGTGAGGGTGAGGGTGAGGGTGAGGGTGAGGGTGAGGGTGAGGGTGAGGGTGAGGGTGAGGGTGAGGGTGAGGGTGAGGGTGAGGGTGAGGGTGAGGGTGAGGGTGAGGGTGAGGGTGAGGGTGAGGGTGAGGGTGAGGGTGAGGGTGAGGGTGAGGGTGAGGGTGAGGGTGAGGGTGAGGGTGAGGGTGAGGGTGAGGGTGAGGGTGAGGGTGAGGGTGAGGGTGAGGGGGGCGGCCTCCTTTCCCCCCATTGGGGGAGGGGGGAAGCATCAAGCAGGCAGTAGGGAGGGACTGCCAGCAGGGTAGGCTATTTGGGGTCACACGCGGGTGTGAAGAGCTGTGAATGAAGCTGAGTGTATAACCCCCCTACTTCACGCAATCGTACTTACATAGGCATGTACACACGCATGCACACAAACACGCCCCCAGCCCCACCTTGGTCATCCCCCTGCCCTGTTGCGCTCGTACGTGCGCCGTATGCATGCTCCGGAACCGAGCTGAACGACAGAACGCTCATAACGCTCATAACGCTGCGACTGCGACTGACGGTATCGCTGCTGGCGTGGGTGTGCAGACCGCTGCCGCCGCCGCCGGGTGCCGTACCGCGAGCCTGCACGGCGCGGGTCGACGGGGAGTGACGTGACGGCATCCCTCGGGTGACTAGTTCGGAGAAACGATAATAAGGCGGATTAGAAAGTGGGCGAGGTGAGGTGGTGATGACGATGTGGGTTGTGAGATGTTGGATGCCTGGGAAGACTGGGGAGTGCCAACAGGCAGCACGAAGTGCAAAAACCGCAATCGCGGCAACATGGCCTGCAGAAATTTCCCCCCCTCTTCCCCCCTAACCCCGGTACCTGTACACGCACACGCACACACACACACACACGCACATGTCCAGTTGACGCCTTACATCGTCTTCGCAGCTCAGTTCTGCACAGAGACACGCGCACAATTCGCGCACCTCCAACGCCGCGGCATCTTCACACGACGCGAAACACACGAAGCACACGAAACAGAACCCATGACACGACGAGAAACTAGGAATGCAGGGCGCATAAAATTAAAGAAGTCTCAGCTGGTAAAAATAAAGATTAGTCCAACGGGGCCTTAGCCTACCTTGCGCCTTAGCGGCATGCATGTATACCGTACCATAATACCCTGCCGTATACTCACGTACGGTAAATAGCTGTACGATGAAGTAGGCTTGGTCGTACTGGACCGTTCCCGACTGGAGCCCTCCATGCTCGGAAAGGTGAAGGAGCCGGGGGGGTTGCCGGCGGCGCCGCCGGCGGTCGCTGACGGTGTCGGTATCGATGACGCCAAGCCGTCGCGACCGGAGGACTTGCCCCTCAAGCCGAAGCCCGTCAGGTCGACGCCGCTGCCGGCGGCGGCGCCGTCGGATCCCGAAGCCACCGCCGCCGCCGCCGCTGCCGCTGGTGGTGGGGTGTTTCTTGTGACGGAAACTGGACTGCGGCCAGCCCGGGCACAGCAGGTAAATCAGGTGTCGCTCAACGTCGCGGGCTCAATTTAAAACAGTCGAACCAGACGACAAGGCAACAGTGTTCATTGAGAAACACAGACAGACAGACAGACACATATACACATATACACAGACACACAGACACGCAGACAAACACACAGACAGACACGCAGACAGATTCTGCCACCGTAACGCGACGCTGGAGTTTGCTTCGATAAAGTTGGCCTTGTGCCACCACCCTCTCGACATCTCATATTCTCGCGGTATCAAATTGTTAAAACATACAGACATACATATGCAGGCAGATAGACACTTGTCCTCGTGGCTTTGGGTTGCCGTGCTGCTGTTGTCACGCATCAAGGACACAGACGCACATACATATGCACCGTATATACGGCAAAACACTCTGCCTTCTTCGCGTCATGCCCTCGTCTTATTCAGAAACGCAAGCACGCACATACGTACATACATGCATACACACACGCAAACGGAATGCTCACCGGAAAAGACGATTAACCGCCGCCGCCAACGCGCCGTCATCTTTGCCAGCCTCCGCCGCCAGCGCGGCAGCGGCTCCCTCCGCTGCCACACGAGCCTGGATCAGAAACACCCGTGCCGGGTGATCCAATCCAACGGTGACGTCTGTCGTACCGACATCAGCAGCGACGGAGGAGGTTGTCGACGAAGATGCGCCGCCGTCGCGACCAAGCTGTTCTACTGACCTACGGCTCAGCGCCGCCGCCAGGCGGCACAGATCCGCGCCGTCATCGGGCGTAAGGCCCAGCGCCGTCAACGCCGTGACGGCGTCGACGACGGCACTGTCAGCGGCGCTGCCGTCGACGCTAAGCCCTGGCGGCACTGTCGCCGCTGCCGCTGCCGCCTCCGCCCCAGGCGGCGAACTGGGCGCGCCACCACCGCTTGCGGCCGGTGCCGTACCTCCTGTGTACGGCGACTTTGATGGCGGATTCTGTCCCAATAGCCGGTGCAGCTCCGCCACCTCCGACGGCGTCAGGAGCAGATCCGGTAGGTTAGGATCAGCTGGGGTGGCGGGCTCAGGAACTCGCGGAAACACAACCATGGCATTTTCAGCCTCGTCGGCTGCATCGCTAGCGGCGGCGGCGACGGCACCGCTGGCGGCGGTGCCGTACGGGGCCGGTGAAGCGTGCTCTTGAGGACCGAAATCCTGCTGCGTGAGCGTAGCCGCTGGTGTGAAGAGCAATGAGGAGCTGCCGGTACGGTCAGATGACAAGCCGGAAGGCCCGGCCGCGGGCAGCTGAGTCGCGGCCGCCGCCGTTACCGACGGCGGCAGCGACGGCGTGTCCCAAGCAGCCGCGGGATGCCCTCCAGCAGCGCCCGTCTCCAAGGCAGACCGTACGGGCGCCGGCGGGTAGGCAAATGCAGTCGCGACGGACCGTCCACCGGCGGCGGCAACGGCAGGGCTGTGTACGGCAGAGAACGCGACGGTGGCTGCCAGCTCGGCGGCCGGAGCTACAGCTGCGGAGGTGCCCTGCATGCTTGCCGCAGCATCAGTAGCCGCTGATGCAGCAGCGCTGGACGTTTCCGTCGCCCCGGCGGCGGTGCCACTGACCCACGGGTCGGTCTCCTCCACTGACGACTGAGCCGGGCCGGCGAATTGGAAATCCCCAAACGCCGACATGTCCAGCATGCCTGACAGCATGGGATCAGATCTCTGTTGCGGAAGCGGCGACGGCGCGGGTGCCGGTGGCGGCGGCGGTGGCGGCGGCGGCGGTGCTGCTGGCGGCGGCGGCGGCATGCCGCCGCCAATAAAGTCACCAAAAGCAAACATGTCCAGTGTGCCGGTCTGCAGGGCAGAGGACTGGACGGAAGGCGGCCCTGCCTGCGGCGCAGATTGGGTGGCGGAGGTGGTATTGGGAAGCAGCGGAGACGACAGCTGTTCTGACGACAGCGGCGGCGGAAGGGGCAGTACGGCCTCGGACACGTGCCCGCCGCCAACGCCGCCGACGGCTGCGGCCAGGCCAAGTGGGGCGGTGTGGGTAGAGGACTTGGGCGAGGCGGATGCGGACCGGGATGGGAACTGCTGTACTGCAGGCCTCTGAGACGGAGGCGATGACTGGGAGGACGTCTGCGGCGGCTGGAAGGGAAGGACGGCTCCAAGGCCACCGCCGCCGCCGCCGCCAAGGAAGTCACCAAACACAGAGGCATCGAGAAGACCCGTTTGGAGCGGTGCTGGCGGCAGTGACAGCAAAGGTTGTGGCTGCGATAGCGTGGGTTCTGCTGGCGGCGGCTGTGGCGGCGGCACCGGCGACGCTGTCGTACTTTTCGATGGCATGGAAACAGAATCCACGAACGCCGACATGTTAGGATCGGTCTCAAACGTAGCTTCTGCGTGTGATGGAGGTGCCGTACTCAACAGCGGCGGCGGCGGAGTGGTGTCCACGGCGGCGGCGTTAAAGCCGCCGAAGGCGGACATGTCCAGCGTGCCCGTCTCCAACGCTGAGCGCCGCGGCGGCGACTCCTGCCTTGGCGGCTCCGTCGCCACCCCTGGCGTGCTCAGGCTGCCAAAGCCGCCGAATGCCGACATGTCTAGGAGTCCGGTCTCCTGAGGATGGGCAGGTACGGACTTCGGTGGCTGTGGCGGCGGCGGCGGCGGCGATGCAGCAGTCGCAAAGCCGCTGCCGCCACCTTCGCCAAACTCACCAAAAGCAGACATGTCCAGGACACCACTATCCAGAGCTGAGCCGCCATAGGCTGCCGCCAAAGGCTGCTTCCGTGCCGCCGCCAGTACCGTACTGCCGTTACCGCCGCCGCCGCCAGCGACGGCGGCCGGAAGAAACGGCCGCAGCGGCGCCGACGGGTCGTCGGCTCTACCGCCGGAGGCGCCACGCGCTAGGTTGCCGTACACCGCGTCGGTGCGGGACGTTGCGTCGCCGCTGGGGCCAGCAGCAGCAGCGTGGACGGGCAGCAGCGCTGGAGGCGACGGCGTCGCTGGCGATGCCGCCGCCGCCACCAACACCGGCGCTGTCAGCGCTTGCTGGAATGCCGCCAGGCCGCGCGACGCCGTCAGGCTGTCGCCTAAAAGCTCAGGGAGTCCAATAACTAGGGGAGGCCGACCCATGGGTCGTTTCGAGCCCCGGGCAACGGTCGTGCCATCCGTTACGCCCAGCTTAGCGCCATCCGCCGCGGCCGCTGAGGACGCGACGGCGGCGCCGCCGCCAGCAACGACACCGCCATCCGACGCTTCGCGGCTGGTGACTGCGGCGTCGGCGGCGTCACGTAGCCAGTCCAGCAATCGGCGCATAACGTGGCACGCCGTCACGAGCTTGCCCTTTGCGACAAGCGCACGTACGACACCCGGATGGTACGGCGGAAGCGGGCCGGCAGCGTCGGCGGCGACCGCCGCGAGGGTGGGCTCGGGCCCCCGCCCGTCAGGGCTCCCGGAGTCCATTTCATTGGAAAAGCACAGCAGGTGGTTGCCTGCGGGAAACGACACATTAATCTCTATCTCAAAAACAATAAAAAAAATCCTGTCCACAAAACGTCTATTATGAGGCATGTTACGCGCAAATTTATGGCCGGTAAGTTGAATGCAGAGGAAGTACGTTGTAAAATGATGTACGAACATCGGTATCCGAAAAATGCCCAATTCCCGCGTGCGCCTTCTGGGCCAGTGACGCGGCTAGTAATCCCTGAGCCCTGTCCCAGCTACAAAGATCTCTCGCTGGACTCCCTCCTAAATCTACCTGCCGCCATTACCACAGCTGCGCCGCGCGGCGATCCGAACGCCGCCACCGCCACCGTGCCCGAGTACGACGACACCTCCCGCCAGCCGCCGACCCGGTCTCGGACCATCAAGCTAACGATGCCCGACGCGAACCCAACCGCCAGGCAGGCGCTCAAGCCCGCCGCAGCAAGCCATGACAGCGCGCTGACAGTGTCGTGCACCGGTACGACAGCCTCCAGTTCGTACTGGCCGAAGGTCGTGGCGGCGGAGCCGCCGCCGCTGCCGTCTCCGTCGGGGTCCTCCCGAAGCCGCCAGATGTGTACGGCCTCCTCCTGCTCGCCGTCGCCGCAGGTTGTTGCGGCGGCGGCATATCCCGACATCTCGTCTAGCGCGACGGCGACGACCAGGCCGGCGGCGGCGGCAGCAGCAGCGGTGCCGTCGCCTTCACCGCTCGCGCTCGACCGGCGGCGAAACCCGCAGGGCAGGCTCTGCACCAGCTCCAGGCCCCCGCCGCCGCCACCGCCGCTGCTGCTGGCAGTAGAGCCGCCAGCCGCCGCCGCCGGCCGCCAAAACTGCACATGCCCGTCAGACGTGCCTGACATAAGGCACGGTACGCGGCGAGTCCTGCTACTGCTACTACTGCTGTTGCTGCTACTACTTCCGACAGCCTCTACGGTGCTAGTGCCGGCGTCGCTGCAGCTGCCGCCGCCGCCGCTGCGGCCGCTCGCGTCTGCAAGGATGCCGCCATCGATTGGCGAGGGCAGGGAGGTGCAGCAGCAGGAAACAATGGCAGTAGCCCGAGGAGGGTCCCTCCTCCCAGTGCTCACGATGCGCCCCTCTGCCTGGGGACCGGCCGCGGCGGCGGCGGCGTCTTCCGCCACGACCTCACCCGGCGAACCATGGGTCGATGACGACCCGTGGGTCGCGAGCGCAGCGGCCATCCCGTCCACATGCTGCGAAACCAGCTCAATAGTCCGCAACCCGGTGCTTGCACACGGCGGCTGCACAAGCAGCCGCCACGTCACCCACACGTCTTGCGGCGCTGGCGGCGGCAGGTCTTGCTGGTGCTGGTGCAGTACATGGCTAAATGAGAAGGACGAGCCATCGACGGCACCCCCAAAGGAGCCTGGCCTAGCCGCAGCGGCGCCGCCGCCGCTGCCGACGCTACGGGTGCCAGCAGCTGTTGCCGAATCCGGCGCCGCGGGGCTGCGGCTAGCCAGCGCTATCAACGTCGCTGTCGCGTACGGCGCGTCCCCATCAGTGTCGTACGAGATCTCGTACAGCGCGCGCACAGCTCCGACGTCTGGCGGTAGATCCACGCGAAGCACCTCCGAAACGAATGTCGCGCCCCAGTCAGTCGCCGCCGTACTTGATCGTACGGCACTCCCCGCCGTCGTCGCCGCCGCTGCTGCCGTACACGGCAGCGACACAGCGTAGATCAACAGCTTGGTTCCGTGAATGCACGCGGCGTAAGCAAACACGCAATCGTTGCCGCCGCCACTGCCGCCGCTGCCGTACTGCGGTGTGAGCGGCGCGCGGCTGCAGCACGACAGCCAGGCAACCGCCGCCAGCTGCCCCGCCGCCGCCAGTAGCACCCGGCGCGCCGACGCCGCCGCCGGCGCCACGCACAACGGCAACTCGCACAGCGGCGTCAGCGACCACAGCGCGACGCCGCCGGTACGGTCCCGGATGAGTGCCACGTCAAAGGCTGGATGTACGAGCATGTTGGAGATGGTTTCGGGGCTGCCAGTCATGGCCTGGCGCGCCACAGCGCCGACGCGTAGGAAGGTGGCTGTGTGGCCGCCTCCCCCCGGCGTCGAGGTGGCGGTGGGGGCAATCTGGCGGGATGCGGGGTCGTGGGGCCCAGGGGACGGAATGATTGTGATTAAAACGAACCAAAGCAAGGGGGAGACGCAGTGTGGAAAAGTAATTACCCCGAACTTAAGGATCAAATTTATAAATTGTTTTATCTGCACAAGTTTTTATAAATGTTTGACATTTTTAACCAATTGATTTTTACAATTATACAATTATTGTTTTATTTTTACCTACCATTTACAAAAATTTCTGATGACTCCCTGAAATGACCTATGATGGCTAAACTGCAGTGATATAATTTATAATGGTGTAATCCTGAACTGCTGTGATGCCGTACAACAGGCACCCCAAGCACGAGGCCGATAGATCAACCCAGCGGGGAAACGGGCCCTTCGGAGATTGGGGTGTGGAGTTGGGGGTGAAGTGAGGGCGAAAAGAGTGATGTGTGGAGGGGGCCCCTCCGGGGGAAACGGCGGGGGACGCAAACACCTTCAATACACATGTCAAACACGCACACACGCACCTGGTAGGTCCGGACTTCAGCGTATGCGCCCTGCATGTACAGCAAAACAAAACACACATGGTTAGGACTTCACGCCAGGGGAAAATTTCCCGTCCCACATTCCCATCCCCATTCGCCCAGAGCCCGCCCCCCCCCACAACCCATCTCACCAAACCAACGTGAACCCATTCTCGCTTCCCCCTGACGTACAAAACACAGACACGCACACACACCCTACGCTCCCAACCCCCGCCCCCCTTTCATGCCCCCAGCGCCCCAACCCTCAACATGTTCGTGGTGTTGTCGGGGGTGCCCACCATCTCCTCACGCTTCTTCCCTCCCCCTACCCTCCCTATTCCCCTCCCCCTACCCTCCCTACTCCCCTCCCCTTCCTCTCTCCTCGTCACCCCTCCAGCTGCCCCAGCAACTCGTCCAACCCGACTCCCCCCTCCCCCCCTCTTACCTGCATGCCAATACACGAATCCGCCGCCCTCAGCAGCGGCATGCCCCCCGGGTACGTGACGTATGCGGATATGCGGTAATGGTCGAGACTCAACGCGGAGTCCGGGGAGGGTAGCAGCTTGCCGGGCTGCAGCCAGGACACCGTACGGTGCTCCAAACCCCACAACACGGCCTGAAAAGGAGGGGGGGGAGGGGAAGGGGTGTTGGGGATAAAGGTAGCGGGGAAATCATATGTGCGGCAAGGAAACTCAGAAATGAACTTCCTGCCGGAAGGCGTCCTCAGAGTCCGAAGAAACTGCCCCCAGTGAGGACGGAAGTGATGAAGTCAGATCGACACTTGGTTCAGGACGTGGTGACGCCCATTTTGAAGGTAGTAGTGGGGTTAGTGCCCCCGCCACCACCACCCCCCAGCCAGCTACTCAGCACCTTTGGTGACGCCGCTGTCTTGGCGGATGAGGAGGAGGCGGACGATGACGATACCGCGCCTCGCGGCATAAGGCCCGACAGCACCACCGCGGAGAGGCCGTCCACAGCCCACACGCACACAGCCTCCTCCAACAGAGAACCGCCGCCGCCGCCGCCATGACCGCTTCCGGAGTCTGTATCAGACACATACATACACAGCAGACGCACCCGGGACTGTTACTGGCGTAAACAATCGACAAAGAACCAAGGTCTGGCCGCTACATACTTTTGTACGATGTACGGCGGTACGACAGGTCATACCAGCAGTATGGCGTACGACGCACCATGGTGTTCTCCCTCGTCGCTACCCAAAATGCCCACACTCGCCACAATCCACTGCAGTCGGCTGCCGGACTCGACAGCGGCCGCGGCGCCGCCGCTACTGTCATTGCCCTCCTGCTCGCGGTCATCGCCCGCACCGCCGCCGCCGCCGCCGCCGGTCGGTGGCGGCGACGGCACCGCTGCCACCGCGGCTGCGACGCCGATGTCCGCCATTGGCCGTGCCCAGCACACCCTCATGCCGGGCCGAGAAAAGGGCGTCAGGCTCAGACCCGGAGGCTCGATGACCAACGTCAAGCAAAACTGGCTCATGGACGTCGCCGGCCCGGCGGCGGCGGCGGCGGCGGCTG